GGCAGAAATAGCCAAGATGGAGAGCACTTTTTAAACTGCTATTTCTTGGTGAATTTTACTGGTATAGGCACAAAAAACACATGTCCTGATTCAATAACATCTATTTTGTGTTTTTTGCTCTTTTGTCAGGCCTTTTACGCAAACAATGCACCATGAATATTTTTTTAATGCAAACTGGAGACTATTGAGTAGGATACTTGGTTGATTTGAAATAAAATTAACCTATGCGAATTACAGCAAGCAAGTTATTTGATCATATTTGTCTATTTGCATCACAGGCAAAGTATTTTGTACATAGGGCTTGTTTCTTTATCAGTTACTATAGCAGTACTTCTACCTGTTTCTATGCTGATCTACCATTTTTTTTCCATGGTTGCATTTTTGCTCAGGTATTTTAACTCTGGTTTGACTGGAGTGTTAATGTTAGTTATAGCATTGCATGAAAGATGGAATCTTACCAGCTTTTTTGGTATATTTTGGTCATTATCAAGTGCCTTCCACAATTTTTTTAACGATTCATTGAACTTCGCAAAATCAGAATCCTGCTTCAGATCATACAGCATGGATGAGTAACCAAGAACAACATCATGAAAGCAGGCCACTCGATCGACATCCATATCATTTTCTCCAGCAGAGATTGATGCCAGGTCAACAAACACTTTCAGCTCATTGATGTCTGCAATTAATAGCATCCTTCAGATGTTGTAAAATGCATTTAATTTTTAATAATCAAAAAATGAAATCTCTGTACCTTTAAGTTCTTGTTTAGTCCACTGGATAAAGTCTTTACACTGAACGAGCTTTTGCAGACATTTCTTACGATCGTCTGAAATGTCTTTCAGAATATTCTTTGCATGTAGAAAAGCATCATCAATGTAGCTTAGATTGTTTTTCTTGAAGTTGGATTCATTCTGAAAAATGCACATTTACACTAAACGGCTAGAGTTTCTTCAAATGAACTTATTTGCAATGATCTTCAGTGGGTGTAAACATACCATTTGAAGCAGTTTCTTCAGTACACTGAAGTCCCCTTGTGGACATATTATATTTTTGATATTCATGACAATTTCGGAAGTTTCCAGTACTAGATGAATATCCTGGTACTGCTGAATCTGGTTAACCCTTTCACTGATCCATGATTTGGCATCAGATGGGTCTACTCTGCACATGATGTTTAATTCTTTCTCCAAGTCTTCATACTTGCCTTTATAGGCTTTAAAGATACTGTCAGTTTCCTCCAGTAGAAGCTCCCCACTCTTAAGACTAACATGAAGCCTTTTGTAGTTGGTGTAGCAGGTCTGGAATATTTTGTTATAAACCTGCTCAAAAGTGTAGATTTCTTGATTTCTGTCACTGTTGCCTTCTTGAGATTGGTCTCTTGTCAGTACCTCCACTTGGTTTGTCCAGCACATTTTGAAGATTCCACTGTCTTTAATGACATGGATATCAGAAGCCATCTTGTGGGTTTCATCACACAGGTTGAAGTAAGTGACATTCGATGTTGCACTAGAGTTCAGGCCATCCAGAGTGTGAACCTTCATAAATTCACTCAGATTCATTGTCTCAAAGTTCTGCTTAAGTTTCGTATCCAAACCATTCAAGTCAACTGTGGATTCAATGTGGAAAAGCTGTTATTACAAAAATGTTTGTACATATTAAACAACAACAATTTTTCTTAGCCTTAACTGCAGTATTTTCAGCCTCAGTGTCTTTCAAGTCAAAATTGCTGAAAATGAATGGCTGGAAGTTAACAATTATCATCTCTATGCTGAATTGACATGGGGGAACTGGTTTTACAAAGGGCATGCACGCAAATGCTAAATAATGCAATGTATGTTACTCCGATTGCATACAATTGTAGTCCAAACAGACAATATTCATTTGTAAATGATTAACTAACAATCTTGAGCTTAAAGTGCTTTGGCAATATTGTAGAAAATGTTAAACTTAATCATCATCTCGGCCTCCTCTGACGACCTGTTTGCTGTTGTCTGCTGCTGAAAGGCAGTCGGGAGA